GTGTGTGTGTGTGTGTGTGTGTGTGTGTGTGTGTGTGTGTGTGTGTGTGTGTGTGTGAGAGAGAGAGAGAGAGAGAGAGAGAGAGAGAGAAAGAGAGAAATGCAGGGCATAGAAGAGTAATATCAATCAGAATCCAGCTTAAAGAAAGAACTACTCTCAGGAATATAGAATAAAAACAAACTTAGTAATATAAACTATCAGGCTTGTAAAATGATAATCGAGATAGCTGCTTCATTTACTTTTTGGCTTGATGAGAATAAATGCTGAAAAACTACCCTACTTGCCACTCAAAATAAAAAATTTCCTCTAGTTGCAAATTATCCACATGTATGGCCTTACATATCTGACGTAAATGCTGAAAAACTTCCCTACTTGCCACTCAAAATAAAAAATTTCCTCTAGTTGCAAATCATCCACATGTATGACCTTACATATCTGACAAGATGGCATGTCCATTTTCCAATTTAGGCAGCCAAAGATAACTTGAGTTGAACAGGTTTGCATTGTCTGAAATTCTGATACTACCAGATTCAATTCAACCCTAAAATATGAAGTCAAAAAGCTCACCACAGGCAGGATTGGGAGACCCAACATGACCAGATAAACAGTCACCATCATCCATTGAACTAATAACACATGAAGTCTCAGTCATTCCGTAACCTTCAGTTATTCGACCCCCGAAGCACCTGTGAATGAAGGGCCAGAATGATTCACATAGAAGGCAACTAAAATAGCCAAACAGCTAAAAAGACCAAGGGAACATATGAAATAATTCAATGTGGTGGCTTCAAAGGCCCATCCACTGTCCATTCCCATTAATGAACTGCTGGAGATCAATCATACTTAGGTGAATGTATCAGTGACCCCACTACTGCTAATCTCCACTTTCCATGAGCAGGAATGGAACCTGGCGTACCCTTTATACTAAGGTACACCAGACTCCAATCATAGTATAAAACCAAATAACTAGACCTCAATATTATCTAGATGGAACCAAATGAAATAGCCACAAATGCATCCTTGGTGAGGATATCAACTTACACTCTCAAGAAATCCATGACATCAGCAGACAAAGGTGAGGCACCTGAACCCATGAACCAGACACGGCCTCCAAGTTTTTCCTTAATTTTATTAAAAACCAATTTATCCCACATGGGTGATGGGTTCTTCCCTGCAACAACCAAACCCACCTTCTAACATAAGCAAACGAACATTTACTTTCCAAAAAGACATGAAGCATGAAAGGAAATTGTAACTAATGGTGAAATAGTCTTTCACATGGAACACAATAGTTCTATATCATTAAGTTGTTATTTCCTAAGGTGGAGTTCTTTTCCCATAATTGACATGGGAAGAAATTTCAAGTGATTCACTATCTTGGCCATCAGCCATCCCATCAACTGGATAGAGCCACAATCTGTAGACATTACCCACACAACCTCCCATTTGAGCAGCTATAATCTGAACTGTTCAGCAGGTCATAGCTCCGTAACTATACTACTAAGGTTGGATAAAACAACTAACAAATACAATTACTCAAAAAGTTCATGAATTTTTTGGATTCATTTTGCCCATAAGGCAGTCCAGTAGTCACACTGAAGACCCAGGCAACCCAAAGGTCAATATCTGCCCAAGGGTTCAAATCATAAACAGAGTTCTCCTTGGCATAAATATGAAGCCACTCCAGAATCTTTTTGACATGAAATAGCTGGGAATAGGAAACCGCATTTTAGAATTTTTGTACTGAAAAGGAGAAAACCATTATTTGATCTAACACACCATTCATTATTGCCTGTTTCTTAGCATTGAAGGCAGCATTAAAAAGCCTCTCCCGCAGGCCCCCAGATGTCCTCACGGCATTCAAAATTCTGATGAATAAAATGTCTAATCAGTCACCTAATATGAGAAAAACAAGGCTGCATAAATTCTCTAATAATGAACCATTACCCAGCATAAATTCTATTATAAAGTCTGGGCACACTGCAAAAAAGTGTTGGTCTCAATGCAGCCATGTCATCCATCAATTTTAAATTATCCTGCAAGGAAAAGTAGAAGTTTGTTTATAAGGTTACAAATAAAATATTTCTTTCTAAATTTCTCGATAACAGAGTAGGGAAAGATCAATGAAATTCAGTAAGCAATTCAATTAATCAACTCTCGGTAGCCTTAAAGACTGAGTTTTTTAACAGATAAGTAAGCTATAATCTAGGACATACATACAGAGCATACTATGCCTTGAGAAAGCAATTAATAAGACATAAAACATACTATATATATATATATATAT